GGTGGTGGTGAGGATGAGGAGGCGGCTTAGGGCGGGTGCTGCTACTGATAAAGTTGCTGTTATTCTTAGGGACCGTGCTGCTGCTGCTGCTTGTTAGGATTAGTGTTGGTGTTATTACAGATGCTGCTGCTGCTGCAGCCTATTCTCATTACTACTATTCGAGATTGTGCTGCTGCTGCTGCTGCAGTTGTGCCGAACCGAAGCTGCGATTTAAGTGAGGAAATCACAACACAACTGACGGAGACACTGCAGCAGCAGCAGCAGCAGCAGCAGCGGCTTACCACTTGCAGCTTCCACTTCCTAACGTTGGGCTCTCCCTGTGCGGGTCCGAAGGTCTTGTTGAGGGCCTCTACGGCCTGGGTGAAGACTCCTGATATTTTAGACTTTTGCTGCAGCGGCTCCTCGCCGTGCGCTGCTGCTGCTGCTGCTGCTGCTGCTGGGCTCGAGGGGCCCCCGTTCTCAGCAGCAGAATCTCCCGAAGAACCGCTGCTGAAGAAAGCTCCGCCGACAGCAGCGTAGAGTTCGCTGCAGGTGGTGGTGGGGGTCACCAGCCGCAGCACCGGCATCCACGAGCCGTGCAGCCTCGGCTCTGCGAAAGCGCGCGAAACAGCCAAGAACACTCTCCCATTCAGAATTATAATTGCAAAATAAACCGAGATCCAGAAAAAAAACAAAAAAAGAACGACACATATTGATGGAATTCAAGTTTCCGGAGGTGCAGGCGCTGCCGGTGTACTGGGGTGTACGTACACCCCAACCAGATTCAAGTTTCGCGGCCAATTCAACTTTTTCTGTTTCTGAATGAATAAAGGCTGCCAATAAGTTGAATTTCACCTATTTATTATTTATTTTATTATTATTAATTATTTTGATTTTTCTTTCACTTGAAAACAAAATAAACGCATTTCTCCCCCCCATAAGCTGCTGCTCTTACCCGACTGGTACTTCACCAGAGGCGCCACCATCACGAAGAAAGAATTCGAAGCCGCCAAACTCGAAGGCAAACCCGCAGCGGACTGCAGCAGCAGCAGCAGCAGCAGCAAACCACTCACAGTCGAATAAAAAACAAGGGAACTAGCAGCAGCAGCAGCAGCGGCAAACCATTCACTGTCGAATAAAAAACACGGGAACCAGCAGCAGTAGCAGCAGCAGCGAACCATTCACTGTCGAATAAAAGACACTGGAAATAGCAGCGGCAGCAGCAGCAGCAGCAAACCATTCACTGTCGAGTAAAAAACACTAGCAGCAGCAGCAGCAGCAAAAGATAAAAGATGAAAAACAAAAATAAATCCCAAGGCACTCAAGAAAATCCAAATGAGAGCCACAAGCTGCTCTCGGCTCATCATGAAAAAACCAGGAGAACAGCAACGCCAGCAGCAGCAGCAGCAGCTGCTGCTGCTGCTGCTGCTGCTGCTGCTGCAGAAGCGCCTGCTGCTGCGCCACTACTGAATCAAATTAGGGGAACAATAACGAGATGAAATAAAATTAAAAAAAATAAAATTAAAAAATAATTTACTCTTCTTTTCTTTGCAGTCGCTTGCGGCGGTGCCCCTGGGCGCTGCTGCTGCTGCTGCTGCTGCTGCTCGTAGGCCATATTTGAACCATTGGTCACCAGGCCGTCTTCCCCCTCCGCCGTGCTGCTGCAGCTGTTGCTGTTGCTGTTGCTGCTGCTGCTGCTGGCTGCTGCAGCCGGCGGCAGCGCCTCTTCCATGTCGCTGTCTGGATTTGCAAAGCGCATTTCCTCTTCTGCGTCTTTCGCCTTCTCCGGCTGCCCTCCCTCTAGCTCCTGAAGGCAGCAGCAGCAGCAGCAGCAGCAAAGGCAGAAGCAGCAGCAGCAAAAGCAGCAACTCGCGTTTCTTTCACTGCGGTGGTTTCGCTTCTGCTGCTGCTGCTGCTGTGTTGCTGTTCGTGTTTCTGTCTGCGTTGCTGCTGCTCGTGCTGCTCGTGCTACTGGCAGATCTGCCTCTCCTGCTGCTGCTGCTGCTGCAGTGCTGCTGCT